CTCAGGCTGGTCTCGAACTCCTGAGCTCAAACAATCCGCCCGCCTTGGCCTCCCAGAGTGCTAGGATTACAGGCGTGAGCCACCACGCCCGGCCTCAACAGAAATTTCTAAAAAATTGTTAAATTAAATATGTTAACTGCAATATTATTAATAGAGGAAGGTAGAACATGCTCGACAAGGAAGTGCTTTGGGGTAGTACAGTACTGCAGCTGAAGCCGGGCTCAAAGGTCAGACTTAAGTTTGAATCTAGCTGTGTGACCCCAGGCAAGCTATTTTTCCTCTTTGAACCTCAGCTTCCTCATTTGTAAAATGCAAATATCTAGTAGTTCCACTTCAGGCTGTAGGGAGTATTACAAGATGAATATAAAAGTACTCAGGCACAGTGTCTGGTAATAAGAGTTAGTGAGGGCTCAATAAGCATAAACCCTTATTATTGTATTTTATTTATTCTTTAGAGATGCGGTGTCGCTCTATTGTCCGGGCCAGAGTACAGTAGCGTGATCATAGTTCACTGCAGCCTTCAACTCCCAGACTCAACAATCCTCCTGTCTCAACCTCCCAAGTAGCTGGGACTACAGACGCACACTACCACATCCTGCTAATTTTTAAAATTTGTATGTAGAGATGGGGTCTTGCTATATTGCCCAGGCTAGTCTTGAACTCCTGGGCTCAAGGGATCCTTCTGCCTCAGCCTCTTAAAGTGCTGGGATTACAGGCATGAGCCACTGCACCTGGCTCCTTATTATTTTAGTACTTCCCAGAGGGATGCATGTCCCTGTGGAATGTTCTGTGAAAAAAAGAGGCGAGGGGGGAAGTCTGTAATCAAGTAAGACTGGGAAACCCTAGGAGGACGAACAAAGCATTATGGGTCTCTCTGCAGAACTTTAGTTCTTCATTAAGGTAACCTACTGTGAATCTGCACAATCACAGCTCCAGCATTCCTTTGACAAGCTTCCTCACTTAATGAACGGATGATCATGGCCTCCATCTGGGGGCTGACCTAGAGACTGCCCAGTCAAGGAGACCCAGGTGCACCAGTCAAACTCTCCTGCCCCACTAGCAGGACTGAAATCTATTAAGCTACAGCTCTAACACAGAGAACACAGAGAGGAGGCAGAGATACCACGTTTGAGTGTGTGGCTCTCAGCTGTCCATGATGGACTTTAGGGGGGTTCCCTGAGAAGAGGGAGCCAGGCAGGTCTGTTCTAACATGTGACCTTGAGGTACGTCCTCATATGCTGCAGCTTCATCACAGGGAGGGGATGACCCTGCTTGGATCAGGAGCAATCCAGACACCTCATTCCAACAAGCAAGTCCCTTCTGCATGCCGGGCCCCGTGCTGAGCACCGGGAGCATGGAATTGGATAAACAGTGTCTCTCGTGCTTATTTGACTCAGGAACTCCTTTTCTTGTGAAGATCCCACAAGCCTGGAATTCCTGAGTACACTCTAGAAGGGCTGGTTTAGTAAACAATGGCACTAAACATTACGGAGCAACTTATCATTATAGTTAGAGAGACACTAATAGCGAGTGAAAAATGGTTTTGATAAGAGAAGCTAAAATGTAAAATAGCACTTACACCAAGATCACAACTATATAATAAGACGCACACATGGAAAGGAACATGCCAAAATAAAAATGATTACTTTGTTAGGGTAATGGGATCATCGGTAGCTTAAAAAGTGTTATTATGGCTGGGTGCGGTGGCTGACGTTTGTAATCCTAGCACTCTGGGAGGCCAAGACAGGAGGATTACTTGAGCTCAGGAGTTTGAGATCATCCTAAGCAAGAGTGAGACCCCGTCTCTACTAAAAATAAAAAAATTAGCCGGGCATGGTGTCTATGGTGCCTATAGTCCCAGCTACTCAGGAGGCTGAGGCAGGAGGATCACTTGAGCCCAGGAGTTTGAGGTCGCAGTGAGCTATGATGATGCCACTGCACTCTACCCAGGGGGACAGAGCGAGACTCTGTCTCAAAAAAAAAGTGTTATTTTTTTCTAATGTTGTTACATTGCATTTTCAATTTAAAAAGTGTTATTTTAGATAGAAAAAAATAAGTAAGCCTGTATCTTAGTGCCTCAGAAAGTACTGAGATTGGTGCGGTCACCACTTACCCTTCTCCAATGTTTTCAGGTCTATATCTTCCAGATACTCCAACGCTGCTTTCTGCGGCTTGGACAGAAACACGTCTGTGTTGGCCAGGAGCAGTGCCAAGGCAGCAGCCCCCAGGGCTCCTGCACCAATGGACCACATCCCCATGGTGAAGAAACTTGGATCCTGGAGGAAAGACATTTCTGGAGATTGAGAGGAAGGAAGAAGACGTTACTGCTCCCACAGGATAGCTAGGATCTGATCTCCCATGCAAGGCTATGGAGGGGCTGCCAACCAGGAGGCCAGGAGACGGGCAGCAGCAGGATCAGAGATGAGACAGGGCAAGGGCTGCTAAGCATCCACTGCTGCCAGAGCGTGAGGATACAACAGATATATGGAGGTTCCTGCCCCAAGGAGCTCACCAGGGAGTGAGGAAATGATGAGAGAGAAAGGACAACTTTCTCAGGTGTTTCTCTTGCTGTCCCCTCTCCTCAGGCCCCAGGTTGTAGCCCCCAGCTCTGTGGTGCTCTACCACTGTGTCCCCTGGATACAGACTACGTCCTCATTCTCCTCCTCATCAATGCCTGACTTGTCTTCACAATCCAGGTGGCTCAGCTATCGCCTTCCCGGGTAGGAGCAGCTTTCTATTCTGTGGTAAGAGGATACGTAGAACACTAATCACACTATTTGCCATCTGTCTTTCTTCCTCTTTAGTTTGAGAATCTTTGCAGAAACAGGGACCATATCCTACTCATCAAGCCCCCAGCCAGTGCCCAGCAGGGCTTCATTCATGGTAGGGACAGGCAGTCTCAGCACATTTCTCCCGATTGAGAATAGCTTTATTTTTTACTCATTACAGAAATAAAATAGGCTCATGGTAAAAATAAAACAAAAAGGCAATACATAAAACCATAGTCAACAAGAAAGCAAATATCTTCTCAAGCTACTACCCATTGACTGATGGTCACTGCTAAACACCAGTGTGTAATCCGACATTTTCCCGCCTGTGAAGAGAACTACGCGGATGTCTGCCAAACGAATCGGAGTAGAGACAGAAAGAACAAGGTGCTGCAGTGTCTGCTTCAGAGGGGGCTGGGCAAAAGATGTCTGCACGAGGTAAGGGTCTCTGCAATTGAAATGGAGTTCCAGGCGGGTCCTGTCCCAATCCAGCCTTGTTCCCAGCTCTTGCCTGGGTGACTAAGGCGCCCTCTAGTGGGCAGAAGCTCCTGGAAGCAGTAGTATGTCACCCAGCCTTCCTTTTGATAACCACCTACAATACCTATCCTCCATTTGGCCCTCACTCCATCCTAGCATCTGACATACACTGGTGTCTTCCTCATTAAGCACCAGCCTGCTTCTGTGTGCTTGGATCACTGTCGGAGACAGGCCTGGGTCTGTGTGCGTATGCATGTGTATGTGTGTGTGTGTGTGTGTGTGTGTGTGTGTATGTCCCACCTAACCTCAGTCCATCTAACCTCTGACTTAATTCTCCCCTGCAGGACTTGGCCAGGAGAGTATTCCTCCAAAGGATTAAGCAAAGGCCTCGAAACCTGAATGTCACTGCCAAGGGAGGGGGCTGTGAGGCAGCCACCGCAATCAGGTAGGGGTGGGAGTGACTCAGTGGTGATGTCATTGGGAAGGAAAGGGTAGGGCAGACTTAAGAAATAGAACTTCCAGGCGAGGGGGTGACCAAATGAAGCAGCATTTAAGAAGGAGGAATTGGACATCTACATATTTAGGAAGGAGAAAAAGAAGGGGAGGTGAGAGAGAGAGAGAGAGAGAGAGAGAGAGAGAGAGAGTGAGTGAGTTGGGGGGGCGGAGGTGCTGGTATGGTATCTCTGATGTGAAGGACTCCAGCAAGGAGAGAAAAGTTTCTCATCACCCACTGCTCAGAACGTAGTCTGTGGACTGGCAGCATTGGCACCATGCAGAAACATGGAATCTCAGGCCCTACCTCAGAACTAAGGAATCTTAAACTGCATTTTAGCCTAAGACTGGCAAGCAATTCATAAGCACATTAAAATCTGAGAAGCATTGTCTTAGAGCAAAGAATTCAGCACTTTGTGCTTGTTTGGCCATAAGCCACAGAACAAAGTACAGTCACATGGGCAGGCTGGCCTTGGAGAGCTGGGCCCTTGTCAAGCCCAGCTTCCACCCCCTCAGCCTGCTGTGGGAAGGGAGAGTCAAACACGCATCTCCACCCTTCTGCCTGGAATATCCTGCCTCATTCTGTGCTTCACAACTCAGACGCCTCAAGAAGGCTCCCCAGATGCTGTGCCCACCCACGACTCCTGAAAGGTGTTTACGCCTTCCCTCCTGGGTCCTGTGCCCAAAATACACCCACGATCCTTCTGATCTGGACCTGTCAGATCTCTCTCCTTTGACTTTGTTCCTCAGTTGATCTCTGACTCTCCCGTGCTTAGCACAGTGCACATTTGCTACACGGAGGGCTCAGCACAAATGTGTGCTCAAATGAATTCAATAGAATTGGATGATGAAGATGACTTATGGACAACAAAATTCTTGGGCCAAGCAGGAAAAAAACTTCTACAGGCCTGCTTCCAATTCTTTTACGTGGCTAAGTTACACATTACTAGATTATAGTTCACAGAACAATTAGGAGGAAAACCACAGCTCTCACCTGCTTGCTGTAAACAGGAGATTCCCTAGAGTCTAGAACAATTTCTGTACTTTTGAGCACTTCCAAACGTCCCTGGATTTCTGACGTGTGTGTATGATTCAGGATCACATGGACTGGTCTCTGATCACAGATTTGATAGGCATTTCTTCAACAGTATGCAAAAGTCAGCTTATATCTACCCTATAAAAGGACTCTCTTTGACTCCAGAGACGTATCAGTGGACTCAGCAAGTCCATGGTCCCTTATAGCCAGCTCCACGCCCTTCCAACATGTCCCTGCTGCACTTAGATACAGACAGGCTCCATCTCCCCACTACCCATCGACAGGCATTTGGCCTGTTTGCTCCTGACTACAACAAGGGAATTCAACTCAACTGGACTCAGTATTTATTTCCCTACATTTATTCAGCACTGATTTACTTAATAAATGGCAATTTGGCAGGACATAAAAAATGATACACAATCCTCAAGGAGATACAGGTCTGGTACACAAACAACAGAAAAGCAAGTGGGAAGGTGAGCAGCTTGGGAAAGGTATGAACACGAGGCCATGGCAGCAAAAGAACGAGAATCAGTCTGGGCAGCCACAGAAGCACCCAGGAGGTAGGATGGACGGGCTAGGCTGAGACGGGGCGGACCGAGCCTGGGAAGCAGCAGGACTGGGAGTGGATGTCAGTGTTGAAGGCACCCTGAGAACTCAAACTTCCATGTCCCAAAGCCCTCCATCTCCCCACCTCAAGTTCAAGGGCTGGGGCATAAAATCTGGACCTAAAATCCCCCGGGAACGCTGTTTTCCATCCCAACCTCTACCCTCACCCTGGGCTGTGATCCAGAAGGTGTGAGCAGAGAATCACCCCTTTGGGGAGGTGCTCCCAGTGAGCCTCTAGCAGCTGGCTCTTCTGCCAGGGAGCAGCAGTGAAAATTCACTTCTGGGAACACCTGGAGACCGCACAGGTCCAGCCCCTCAGCCAACCTCCCCAAGCTACAAAGCAACTTCCACCTTGGCACGTCTTGGAGCAGGTACCACTGTAACCTGCTGTGCAGTGTGAGCAGACCCCAAATCCCGAATCACAGTTTTTCCCAAAAAACGGCAAGTAAAGGGAGCTTTAATATCTAAATAGAACAATGCATGGGCCTCTAAGACCACTCACTGGTAAGGAGGCCAGTAAACCGGATTTACTTAGGGTCATTTGATATACATGGCCTAATTTTATTCACTCAACAGGCTCGTGATGCAATGATCACCCTGTTTGGCAGCTGACAACACTGAGGTTCAGAGAAGTTCAGTAACTTCCCCAGTGTCACAGAGCCAGCAGGCAGCAGTACTGCAACCTGGACCCAGGTCAGCGGGAACAGGATTCAAGCTTGTAGTCTTCCTCCTCTCTCACTGTGCCTTCCCACACATTCAGAAGTGGGTTTCTGGAGGTCAAGGGGTATGATTTCCTTCGTCATAAAGAGAATTAAAAAAAAAAAAATCACCTTTTTTTAGTCATCAAACACATGTACAGTCAAACCATGTTTACTCTAAAGGAAATTTACCATACACCAGATGTCCCTTTTCTTTCCTCCCCTTTCTCTCCCCTTCCGTCCAGGAATGGGTCAGCTCCGCTGACAGAGAATAGCAAGGTTGTTTACAGAAGAGCCAGCCCCCACCTGACACAGCTACGGTATTCAGTCCCCCACTGCAGGACTTATCTGACCCGCCCTGTCCCACAGAAGGTGCAGCAGGAGGAGGCCACACACAAACAACAGCTGTGGCAGCTCACAGTGGCAGCTCCCATCTGGGAAGAGCACAGGGGTGAGGGGTGGGGACTGGGGAGACCCGGAGGGGCTCTCCAGGCCAAGCTGAGTCAGTCCCATCCCAGGCTCCATTTTTTTCAACTTCAAAATGAGAGGGTTGAATGGAGGGTGTGCTAAGGTTCCTAAAGCCCCCCAAGACATCCTATCATTCTAACAAAAACAGCTCACTTTGGAGTCAGAACATTCTTGGTTCCTCATCATAGCTGCTGCTCCCCTTTGCCCATTTTAGTGATCAGCTTTGAGACCCTGTCTTTTCCCTACACAAGGCAAGTCCCCCTACCACATGGGCCCTCATCCCCAACCTCAGGCAGTTTAAACCAGCCAACAAGGCACTCACCATCCGCAGCGTCTACACCCCTGCTGCTGCCGAGAGGCTGAGGCAGGGGTGAGCAGGCAGGCAGAGCCCGGTGGCAGGGGAGGGCTGAAGGCGGGGCTCTCGAGTCCCGCCTATGCCCCTAAGCTCAGTCACTCCACAGGCCGGACCAGGCCACCCAGAAACCCTGGGGCTCCTTCAGCTGCCAGCAGTTAATCTCCAGAAAACACTGCCAAGGCCCCTTAGCCCTTCAAAAGGTTGAGCAAAGTTTTGAGTCATTTGCAGTCATGCAGGTTATAACATTTTCCAAGTGCCAAAAGACTCCATCCATCTCTGCTATCCGGTGCAGACTAATGAAGCGAAGCCCTTAACACAGCCCACATGTTCCACACGGGGAAGTCAATGGAAGATGTCCCTTTCTCTGTGGCTCCTTGCGCAGGCTGCTCCCTTGTGCCGTTCCTCATCCCGGCCCACAAAATCAGCCGGCACTACTGAGGACCCTCACCTCCTGCCTATTCGTTACCTCCCTTTGCTTTCCCTTTTTTTCTTGCCACTTAAGTGGCTTCTCTCAACCCACACTCCCTTCCTGGGTGACCTCACCTACTTCCAGCACCTCACCCACCACCTTAGTATTGACTTCCAAGTCTCTATTGCTATTCCTGACCCCAAGTTTCCACAGGGATTTTGTAGGCATCACTGTTGCCCTGTACCCAAAATGTCTCAACCTGGACTAAAGTCAGTCTCTCCTCTAGGGTTCTAGCTACCTTAGTGGATGACACAAGCATCCAACCAACTGCTCAAGCCAGAAACTGGGAGTCACATTTTACTCCTCTTTCACTTTCACTGTCCACACCTCATCAATCAGGAAGTTCTGTCCACCCATAAAATGTGTCTTCTACCCATCCTCTTCTCAACCTCACTGTTACTGTCCAAGCCCAGGCCCCTATTTTGTACCTAGACTATTTCGATAACTACTGAATTGAATGTGGCTTGGCTCTAGTCTTGTCCTCTACGTTTTATTCTCCATACTGTAGCTAGAGTGATCCTAACACACCCAGGCCTCACCACATCCTTCCCTTGCCTTCAGACTCTAACAATAAAGTCCTCAGCACGGCTGACAGGACCCTCCACAGCTGAGCTGCAGCCCACCGTTCCGGCCTCATCCCATGCCACTGCAGCAGCCTGGCCAGTCTGTGCAAGGCCAGTCTCACACTGCTTCCTTTACCCAGAATGCTCTCCCCACCCACGCCAACTAAGTAAATGCCTACCTATTAATAAGGCCCAGCACAAATAACACTTCCTCCCCAAAGCCCTTCCTGAAAGCTCCAAGAATTGACTGCTCCCTCACCTCCGATTACATAGCACGCATGCGACACACACATAACGCGCTGCACAAATGGACTGTGTGTATTTTAGTTATTAACACGTCTGTCTCCATAATGTGGTGGCACAATCTGAGGACAGGAGCTGCTGTCTTATTCATTCCTGCATCCCCAGCACTTAACACAGATCCTGGTAACAGGCAGGTATTAACTGTTAATGAAACAATCTGAATTTTACTCTTCAAACTCCACAGTGAGGCAGAGTTGGAACTAACTTATAGCCACTCAATGCCACCTCAGTATGCAAGACAATTTTGGACAGGGCTAGCTTGACATCAAAGAAAACACTCAAGCTTGGGGCTTAGGTGACCTTAGGTTGGGTCCTGGCTCCACTGCTCACTGGCAGGACAATCTGACATAAGCCATGAAGACATCCTGGGCCTGGGTGTCCCCATCTGTATAGGTAGAAGGAATGAGAAATTCTGTGAGGTTGTCCCAGCTCTGACATCCCACCCAAAGACTCTAAAGTACCATGTGACCGCAACCACATCCACAAAGCAAGCCACGGGGGGCGCCTGCCACTGCTGCTCTCCTGCTGGGTGTGCACATTCTCACTGCCTCCTTCCCTGGCCCAGCTCCTGCCTATTCAAGGAGCTGCCTCTCGGCAAGAATTGATAAAGTCTTAAAAAACAAAGTATCAGCACTGGGTGGGTTAATTCATGTCTGAGGCAAGTATAGACAGCATCATATTCTAAACATCAAAGGTGCATCTGCCTAGCACAGCCCCACCCAGGGAATCCTCCCTCCTCAGAATGAGGTGGCCTGAGGCAGAGACAGGAGAGGGAAGAAAGGGTTCTGAGGGAGACCAAAAAAAAAAAGTGCAAGTGGGCCTCCTCGCCTCAGGCCCTCAGTGAACCAGGGTGGAAAGGATGCTTCATCTTCCTTCTCCGCTCTCCTCTGTTCCCTCTCCTTCTCTCAAAGCTCTAGTTCAGCTCCTCCTTTACTGAGTAAATGAGGAAACTAAAGCTCAGAGAAGGGGCTGGCTAGTCCAGGGTCATATGGGCAAGGTGGGTTGTCAGTGGCTATGCTGGGACTTTTCAGGTCTGGGTCTCCCCACTCCCAGTCCATGATTGCTTTTCCTGCATTGGACACTCCGGGCCTCACACAGCCAGCCGCACGCCAGTGGCCTCTGAGACTGGACAGCATGGGGGCTGGGGCTCAGGAAGAGGGACCCTGCAGGTCCCAAAACCTGCTTATTAGCCTCAAGCAAGCTAAGAGCAAGACTGCTCCTCAACAGGGCCTGGGAAGTCTGGTGCCAGGAGAGAACAGCAGCGTTTCCCGAGCCCAATCCTTAGCAAGCAGCTTATAAACCAAAGCCAAATGTTTTCTTAAGGGTCACATTGCCCGTTCTCAGCTGAGAAGCCACTCTGCACCTCTCCTCTCCACAGTAACAAGGACCTATCAATTCCTGTCTAACAGACTGATGACACAGGCACCCAGGGCCCCATGAGCAATAGGAGATGCCCTGCCACCCACCCTTGCCTTCGAGTACCCTGGCACTATTAGTAGCTAGTTGCCATGAGCTCTCACCTACTTGCCTCACTCTCCAACTCTCAGCTCGGACCCTGGGGTAACTGTTGGCCTGGCTCTGGCCCAGCCCTACTCTCAGATGCCAGATTCAGAAAGTTTTGAACAGATACTAAAAGCAGAATAAGAAGACACAATCAGCTACTTGTGAGGAATGTGGGGGCTGAAAGAAGTCTCTTCCTCTGATAAGTGAAGCTGGAGCTGGAGTGGCCCCAAAAGATCTAGCCATTCTACCCTCACTTGCCGGCCTCCTGTTTGGGCTCAGGACACATGCTCCATCAAGGAAGGCAGGCAAGGGTGATACCACAAAAGACACTGGGCTGAAAAATAAAAATCCTGGGTTCTCACTCTGACTTTGAAAGGTCACCTTGTCCCTCTGGACCTCAGTGTCTTCTTAAAAACAAGGGCACTTTGAAGGGTTGTCATAAAGAATATAAGGGAAGAGGAACGTGAAATGCAGCAATACACAGGAGAACTGTAAGGCAGCATTATCCTTCTCTTCTTTGCAGCGCTCAGACTCACTCATCGTCCTATGAGGTCAGGACATCTGAAGCATAAGGACAGACATAAAACACTGATGTGCAGCTGTGTCACTGCAGGCCTGCCTCCTCGGTAGGAGTTCTAGGTCTGGCGGGAACCCTGGCTTGTCTCAGCCCCTTGGCCTGTCCGGCCATTGCACAACGCACACTCTGTGCTACCCCTGCAGCAGCCAACACTGCCTTCTGCACTAGCAGAACCAGAGAAGGCAAAGGGCACTGCTCAGTTATCATCTCCCTGTGCCAGAGGCCACCAAGCTCAGAAGTGAGGCTGGCTCCCTCCACAGCACCTCTGGACAGCTCTTGCCACACAAGCCTCTGCAGAGGAAGACTTGGAGCCTCTGCTCAACATTTCACAAAGAGGTGGGAACCCAGCTGGCAGGAGAGCTGCTTTATTTCCGAGACATTGACAGAGCCCGGGCCTTGACCCTATAATTCTGGTCCTAACCAAACTTTCCGGGTGCCATTTAAATGACACAAGCCAAGGAGACAATCTTCAGAAATGTCTTTTGTATCTTTTCAGCAGCAATGCATAAGGTCTCAACTAGATGGCATGCCCTTATAAAGGAGGGTGATACGAGAAAGGTCAGACCAAGAATAAGTAAGATCTACCTCGAATTCCTAAGAGCTGTGTGAACCTGAATGAGGCACTGTTTTGCACCAGTAAAATGGGAATAATTCCCGAATTACCTTCTGGAGAGTTGTAAGAATCAAAGGATTGAATGTATAGGAGGTGCTTGTAAAGCTACCTTACGAAGAGTGATATAAATACAACGCATAAATCTTACTTCATTTTTAGATTAGTCCATGATCACCCCAAAACGAGATCTGTACACAAAATGGAGAGTTGTCTGATGAATAAGTATCTTCTAAGAAGTCAGGGCTTGCAGTCTGAATCCCAATTCTCAGCCTCCACAGCGGGGCCAAAGCAGGAGCATCCAGGACTATACAAGCTGGCTCCGTGACAATGCTTTTCAAAATAAATTCTAAGAAATTATTTTCTTTTTTAAAATCATCTGCCAGGTTCAAAGGAAAATACACTAAAATAAAAACAAAAACCCAAAACTTAAGTTGAGGTTCAGGCAGTTGGGCTGTGGGAACAGCATGGTGTGGTAAGGAAAAGAGGCAGAGAACCAGCTGTACCTGAGCCCCAGTCGGGTGTGCGCCCTCCCCACAGCCCTTGCCAGGCGGGGTCTTACTTCCCTTCCCTTGCCTCTAGCCATCTCCACTTTCTCCCTCTGCTCCCGCCCCTGCAACAACCCTGAGGATAAACGGTTCCATTAGTGCCTCGTTCATCTTTTCATTCCCAGATCTCAGCACAGTGTTCTGAAATTCACACTTGGACTCTTCCCAATTTCAAGTCAGGAAGAGGGGGAACAGGTGCCTCTGAGATCACTCTGAACAAAGCTAGAGACCGTGCCCTCATAAAATACACGACTGTGCACAGAGAGGAGGATGGCCAGGTCCCTCGCCTCGAGCTGGTCCCGGGCAGGCCCCAGACCCACCCGGACCAGGGCAGATTCCTGAGCCCTTTTCTCAGTTCTTCGTCCTAACAATTCAGGCAGGTCGGTGCCGCCAGTCTCACTCAAAGCCTGGGGGCGGGGAAGAACCGGTCACATTAGCGCCCAGTTCCGATCTGGGGTCTTCTGACCCCGAGTGCGGCATTTTTCCACTGGCCGCGGTGGCTGGGGCGGGCGAGGGGGCGCCGCAGGCCGGGAGGGGCACTGTCCTCTGAGGGGAGTCGGGGCCGCGCCGGGCAGTCTCCGAAGGAGCTCCATGGCGGAGATGCACTGGTCCGATGGGCGGCCCTCATGAATCCAGAGCCTACTCTCCCTGCGCACCGCCTACCTGGCCCTGCCTCAGTTTCCTCACCTGCGCCGCGGCAGACCTCCGCCGACGCCCGCGTCACGTGCCTCGCAGGGCCCCGCGTGCAGCACCTACCCGGAATGCTACTCGCCGCCTGCCTTCTCTGGCGCCCGACAGGGGTACGCAGAGGGGCCCAACCCTCCCCGGCCCCGAGGGTCCCAGGGGCGGGCCCCGCGTTTGCGCAGCTTCGCGCCTGCGCTGCTTCTGCTTCGCGCGCCGCCGCGCCGCTCCCACGTGACCCGCCCCGCCCCCCGCGCGAGGAGCACCGGCCCCGCCCCCGTCCCGCTGCCTGGGCAACGCCATCCGCTGCGCCTACGCCTCCGTACTCCGCGGCCCGCGGGTGCGTCCTTGACCGGCCGCTGGTTAGCACAACGCTGCTTTGGTTCACTCCTCCGTGAGTTGATGAATGTAGGACCCTGACAGGTTTTTTAGGGCGCTGCCTGGGGCAAAGGGAAGCTCTGGTCTGTGCTGATGGGATCTAGAAGCACCTGTCCTGCAGCTGAGGCCCGTCACCTTCCAGTATTCAGCGTGTTTTCGAATAGTTTTTTCAATGACCATTTTTATTTTTGCATAGGAAAGGGGACTCTTCAGGACCGAAGCATTCTGATGAGCGACCCCTGCAAGCTTTATGTAAAATTCAAAATCGCCAGGCTTCACCCTCACCCCCAAGTTCCTTTCACTCCGCGAGGTTGGCCATCAGCCAGGCAGTGGGAGAGACGGCCTCCTCCTGGGATGTTGCCCACTCCTTTCAGACTCTGAGCATCACTTTGGCTAGTTTGTCCCCCATTCATCCATTAATTCATTTATTTACTCATATAATAAATTCCCACACTGTTTCATAAAAGATCACTTTAAAGATCAGTAGAACAATGGGAAGACCAGTCACAGGGCAGCTTGCGAAGAGGTAGCAAAGCAGGCTGAGGTGCCCACTGCTCATATGCCTGCAGTGCCTTCACCCCCTTCCCCTGGGAACTGCCTACTGGTGTTCAAAGTCCAAAGGCTTCCCTGATTCACCTCTCAGACTTCCCACTCAGACTCCATGTTCTATGTAAACTTACACCAACACTTGGACCCATAGAATCTATTCAAGGGGGTCTCTCCTTAACTGACCTGCGAGTTCCTTTGCTTCACCTCTGGGAGCCAAGAGCCTGGCCCAGGATCAGCACGAAGATGAACGTGGGAACTGTTATGGAAGAGAGTGTGGATCTATATTGAGGGTAAGAGGGATCAGCCTGAATGATCATGCAGTTTTCTTGCATGAGTAGGCATCTGATTTGAAGGCCAGAAAATATTTAGTATAGTTTGGTACATTGTGAGTGTAGTAAAAAAAAAAAAAAAAGTCATTTTACCCCCAGAAGACCTTTCTCACATCTGCCTCATTTCTTCCTACCTTGTGAAGAGGAGGGGGAAAAGTGTCACTCTTTCTATCCTGAAATTGGAGGTTTGGTCAAAGTTGAGGAAGGTTTGCAGGGAAGGCCACGTAGAATAAATCGGGAAGCCGTTTCCTTGGGCTCCCAGAGACTGACCATTAATGGCAGAGCCATTGGGGTTGGGGATAGCAGAATTCTGGAGTGGGAGGTGCCCTGAGGCTTTAGCTGTGATATAATTATTAATCAAATGCAAAGGCCATAATGATATTTACACTTCTGTAGCATCCCAAAACTCTAAACTTCAAAAACCAGAGTAGATCTGATAGCTCATTAATATGCTCCTCACACTCTGAAGTTTCTTTTTGTACAAGAAGGCCCAGGCTGAACTCATTAAAAATAGTCATTAGACCAGAAAAATAAGTTATGGGCAAGCAGGCACAGGAAAACTTATTTACAAAGCCCAAGGATAAAAAAAAAAAAAAAAGCAAAAACAATCAAAACAAAACAAAAAACCTGAGACATAAATCCAAAAAACCCCACCAATCAGCCAAGTTTTAAGGAGAGAAATAATTCAAGTGTTGTAAAGATCATAGAATAACCTTAGATTTTGAATTTAAAGGGGTGGAAATTAAGGATGACCAGAAGCTTTATGACAACTTAGATAAGCTAGGTATGATACCATGTTGACAGGGGTTGGGAAAGTTTTCTGTCCCTCACAAATCCTGTAGGGCAGGCATAAAACATCACTAGCAGGAGGCAGATTTGGGTGAAGACTTGAGATTTTTTTCAGCGTCACCGCACCTCTAGATTCAGTCAGCCTCATCTGCTTACTCAGCGGCGATCCAAGCCAGAGGTAAAACATGATTTTTTAAGCTGATGGCCCTGTAGTGTCTGGGCTCTTTGGGAACAGTTCAGGAAGTGGTTAGCATCGAAGTGAAAATAAAGCAAAAGTTGGTGCTTGACTTCATTATCTCAGGCCCAGATTCCCATCCTGTAAATGCATAAACATCAAATCAAGATCAAAAATTGTATATGAACCACAAAAATAGATGTGCACAGATCAGCTCCAAATATCTTCCTTACTTGCCAAGACCTCTGAATTCAGCTGTTTTTTTAGTTTTTGAAGCATAAAGTTGCACTACTTCCACAGTGCGCCTCACAGCAAAGTCTGTAGGGACCTCTCTCTAGAGCCTTCAATATATGTGGCCAGTGATTTACCAGGTGAGCCAGTGGGGAACTGAGGGCTGCATGGTGGGTTGATTCTGCCCCCAGATTGGAAAAGCAGGACTGCCTCAAGTGTCCTCATGCATTATTTGCATGATAAACTAACATTTAAGGAGCCTTTATTCAGTTAGGAAGCTTTGGCTTGCAAGTAATGGAACACTCAATTCAAATTGTCTTGAATTGATCCTGTGGTTCAATGAAGTCATTGACAATTCAGGTTCTTTTTCTTCTCTGTTATGCCTATGTTGACTCCATGTTAAGGCTAGTCTCCCTGTGGTCACAGGATGGCTACCAGGATTCAGCATGGAGAAGGGGCAGTTAGATTAAGGAGTGAACAAAGCCCAGAGCCTCACTCTGATTGGCCAATCATCGTGGCCACGGTACTGCTGCACATTGATTGGTCTAACTCTGGGTTAGTTCCTATCTTATTTATCATTGTGTGCACACTTATAAAGGAAAATAGAAGTGAAATGAACATGTTAAGGTATTCCTTAGATACTTTCACATTCAAAGTCCAACTCTTCTTGACAATTTTTAGGCTCAGGGTCACTGATTTCTGGATTTGTCACACAATATTATCCTTTGACCATAGGACACACTGGTGCTATAGCATTTCTTAAAGGGTGCTCCATATAGTCTTCTGCTCAAAGTCAGCAAGAAGTTTTTGATAAAGAGATGTTTGACAACTTCATGATAGTCCTTCAAAACACATGAATGGATGACACCAACGTCTCATTGCTTTGGAATTTCTTTTATCCATTTCGAAAGATTTGGCAGTTTTTCCAAACTTCATTGCAATTCTTTTGTGTGTATCTCAATAGCAAAACATAAAAGACTTCATTTGTGTGTCTGTGTGTAGCTTGCTTTCTTAGTTTCATAAGTCCCTAGATTGTTGCTTTGCAAGAAAATAGGAGAGTGAAGTCATTCCTCTGATGACAAAATTTGCTTTATTAATATCAAATTTATGTTCCACTGCTCTGATTCCTTGAATTTCTGCATTTGCAATAACTTTTTCATTTCAGTGTCAAATCATAGGGTAATATTTTAGGAGCTTTTATACAGTGATTAGACTCAACTCATGAAATATAAACAATGTACATAACTCAACTGAAGGGTCAACAATCTGAGCAGCTATGACTACATTGATATGTGTGGAGGCAATGACAACTGTGTGACACCTGCTGGCTAGTCAATAGCAATTGTAGGACACTATTGATTGTAATGCATGACCCAATTTCAGAGATGTTAAAATGTGAAAAAATGTGCAACTTACAAATTATGAGCTTTGCTATTCTACAACTGAGTAGAATTTAGTCCAGGGATGCAAGTAGGTATCAACATCAGTAGATATATCAATGTATATGAACAAATAAAAAGGAATAATAAGACTATTTATCACATCAATAGTAAAAAACAGATTTAGTAAAAATTTACAGCAAAAACAACTGAGTAAAAGAGGAATAAAAGCAAATTACTTAAATATGATAAATATTCTTTACCAAGACCTAAAAGCAAATGTCTTAAATGGCAAACATTCATTTTGATTAAATAAGGAACTAGACCTCTGCCTTCATCGTACTGGAGTATTAAAAAATTCAATAAAAATTAAATAATTAGTATTAACATTAGAAAAGAAGACTATCTCTTTTTGCCAATGGTATGATTGTATCCCTATATAACCCAAGATGAATATTAAAAATGACTGGAATTAATAAGATTATTTTCTAGTAATAGAAAATCCTAATATAGTATACAATTTACTATGTGCCAGGGACTATTCTAAATATTCATATATGTTACTTTATTTAATCCTTGTAGCAACCTTTACAGGGGTTATTATTACCCATTTTATGGATGAGGAAACTGAGCACAGAGAGTAACTTGCCTAGATCACACAACTAGAAGGTAGTAGAGCGGGGTTTAAATCTCTGACACTTTGACTCCATAATATTAAATACCATGCTGTATTGTCTCTCATGAGATAATTTAGAAAAATGGCAGGATACAAGGGGTATGTGCAAATACCAATAAGTACCTTTTAGAAAAATGTTTCATTTACAATTGTGACAAATGCTCTAAAATACTTGGGCCTATATTGAGGTAGAGCACTGCAGGACTTATATTAAGGAAACTAGAAATGTTATTAAAGTTCTTAAAATAAGATTGAAAACAAATAGAAAAATATATATACCATGAATTTCTGCATTTGCAATAACTTTTTCATTTTAGTACCAAATCATAGGGTAATATTTTAGGAGCTTTTATACAGTGTGTATACACACACACACACACACACCATGTGCTTGATGAAAAAACTTGAATATTATAAAAAGATAGTCTTTCTAAATTAATATATAAATTTAATGTCATTCAAACTAAAAGCCTCAAGGTATTCTTTTTTAAAAAAAAAATTGATGGGATATTTTTAAATGTAAAGTTGTGGCAGACACTATTGCCTACCTAACAGCTATTCCCCACTCATTTCTTTCAAACAGAACTGTAATTTGGTTCAGGTATTGGTAGAGAAGCTTTATTCTCAGAGAACATTGGTCCCTACTTCAGACCAGTGAATTATGATTGGTGTCAACCAGTAACTCTAATTTCTGTCCTCTCTGCCAGTGATTTGTCCAAGAATGGGTGTA